AACTTCTTAATTTTTTTGCAACCGAATCGTATTAAAATGTGTACAAACAAAACCAAATCCCTATTATCTATAAATGTAACTATGCTTATTTAATTTCTCTGAGCATTTTTGAATATTTTAAATTCTTTTAAAAACATGCATATGCATTTTATCTACTGAAAATAAAGCCTTTGAAAAGTGTAGCTCTGCAAATTATATTGCATTAACATCACCTTGGGGCCGGGAGGGGCGAGATTGATACGAAATAGCAGCACTTTGTACTTTTGTTTTAATTATTTAAATATGTAAACAGTTTTTAAATTGTGGTTCTGACAAACCTGCTTCAATTTGAAGGAACTGGCCTTTTACAGACAAGTTCCTGGAATCCAAACCCCTAAAAGAAAAACTTCAGGGTACCACGTATTTGCATGGTACATGCATAGCCATAAGAACTAGAGCCTGATAAAGGCATGAGATGAGAGAGGGCAGCTGGCAGAAAGTAGAGCATAAGACAAAGAATGTGCTGGTTGTTGCTCAGTCTTTGGAAAGAAGCAATACTGCAAATCTGTTCCAATTAGCTGCAGTGTTGTGCAGACCTGTGTGTCCCTGCAATACAGGGCATGCTGTGAACAGGCCTGTTACTTCCCAATTAATAGGGAACTGAGAACTAAAATAGCAGAACTCAGGCATTTTTTATAGTTAAACTGGTGCAATTCATTTTTCCCATTCCAGAGGCATTTAAGTAGATTTTTAAGAAAATGAGGAGAAGAACCCTGCATGGCTGTCCTAGATCAAGTTCTCCAAAGCATATGCAGGAAGGAATTCAGGATTTGGTTAAACACTGAAAAGTATTTTTCCCTAGCTTTGTTTTGACAAAAGATGGCAATATTTTTGGCTGAAATACCTAATTTAATTTAGAAAATGCAGAAAATGGTAACTGGCTTTCCTAGTTTAACACTAGTTAAACTAGTATTAAAGATTCTACTCCGGTGGCTTGTCATATTTCTCAGCTATCATATTGGCATTTAACAACCTTAATTAGTTTTGATAGTATTTTACTTAAGGCTTTCCTTTGTATAAAATCTTTAAGTAGAATTAAATTTTAAAATAATGGCTAAATTTAGGGCCAGCTTACTAAATTGAGGGAAATAGTCCATTCAGGAAAAAAACAAACTATCTTGCACTATATCCAATAAAATGCAGGGCAACCAACATAAACAGGTATTTTAAAGAATGCAATTTACCTGTTACTCTAGATACATCAACAAACTAAACCAGTAAAACCATGACTATCCACACAAAAAATGTAAAGAACTTTATTTATAGTCTATTTTCAAGTTAAACTGACGCAGGTTGAAGGAGATGTAACCACATGGTAATAAGAGGTAGGAGAGAGACAGAAATGGTAGACAAGTTGCATTTTCCCAGTATGACTTTCTGCAGCCTTGAAACAGTGTTTGAATCCAAAGCTCCAGACTTAGTTCTTTCTCAGTAGGCATGAGTGATTTTTACTCTGTACTTGTTACAAAACCGAAAGTGCAACTGAAACAATTTCTAAGCTGAATATTTCATTAGGTGTTTTTATGATCAGGCATAGTTAGAAGAATATATTTCCATGCAAGCAGGTTACAGGAGTTTACAATTTGAGTGCAAAACATTTTCTTCTCTAACAGTTATCACACTTATATGCTGATGGGACAGTAATGATACAAAACCAATTAGGTGTTAAATGTATATTTCCTCAGTCGAATGATAAACTGCAATTGACCTTAAATTAAAGCAGTATTTATGGGGAACTGTGGTTTACCACTTGATCTAGAAGGATGAAAAATTTAGTGCAAAATAAAGTGCAGTTATTACACAGGAAAAGATTCCTTCCTCACCCTGTGATTAAGACATATTGCATGTCTCTGTGAAACAATCTAGCCTATTCAAGGCAAAATAGACTTTAGCATAAATGATCCCTCTGTGCCTGGCATCAATAGAAAAGCATGTAATGACAGCTCCTGTTCTTGATTTCACTGGTTTTTATTGAGGCTATAAAGCCCTTTCTGTTAATATACAAGAAACAAAAAATATTTACAAGTTTAAGTACTGTGCCAGTTGTAGCACATTCCTAAAGAGTTAGCTAATGCCATCAACATTTTAATAAATACGCTAGTAACATATTATCTGTACTGGAGTAAAACCCAAACATGGCAATATTGCGCTATGTGAAATGAAAGTTACCACTCTATAAAGATGATTTCAAGAGTAGTTTTCTGGTAACTAAGCAATGCTTCATTCCATTTAACCTTGGGGATAGTTCTCCCATAAATCCAGTAAGCTACAGGGTTTGTACAGTAAGCTATAGGACAGTACAACTTCTACAGCCAGTCTTTGAATATTATCATATTTTGTGTTCTTAAGGAACTCTCAAGAGGTTCTTAGACTCTTTCCTGTCTTATAGTAGAAAGGTAACTGACTGCATGAAGATTGCTGTGATAAAGGATAAATTGAGTGTGAGAGATATCACAGTGCTGTCCAGTCCACTCTAGATTTATTGGTTCCCCTTATCAAGCCCCTTAGTGAAACTCACTTTGGGCAGCTGAAAATATGAGAGAACAAAGAGGAATCATGAAGTTTAACAGGAAATATGCTAGGAGCAATGGTTCTCCCTTGACACAACACACAATGTTGTACAGTAGTTGTAGCCCACCCACAGCCTCCATCAGTCTTTCTTGCAGATGTTATCCTGTCCTGTTAAATATGACTGAACTTAAGTAGCAGTTTTGTTGAATGGATTAGATTCAGGATCTGAACTACCTCTGAAAAAAGATCCTGTTAGGGATTTTCTTTGTCATCAGATGTCAAATCAGAAGTTGTTATGTGGAAATGTATTTAAGTAATGCTTAAATATCTCTACAGCCTCAAAAAGGCAGCTACAGTAACTTACTTTATATAGAGAATTTTAAAAAGCATTTTAATGCTGTGTGTAGGCAAGCTCTATTGAATAAAGTATTAAATGTCTTAAAGTTGTTTAAGTTGCTCTATTAAGCTTTACTTCTTTATTCAACAGATGGTAATACAGATTTCCTATTCTTGTGTTTTCTCCAATTCTTCTCCTTTCTCCTTGGATCCAGCTGCATTCCTACCCCACCCTCACCTCCACCCCCCATTTTAGTAGGGGAAGATTCATACAACTAGCACAACTAGCATTTGTTAGAGTCAAGTACATGACTTATCCCCAGATTTTCCTTTCTCCTTGGATCCAGCTGCATTCCTACCCCACCCTCACCTCCACCCCCCATTTTAGTAGGGGAAGACTCATACAACTAGCACAACTAGCATTTGTTAGAGTCAAGTACATGACTTATCCCCAGATTTTGCATTTGTTTGTACTTCAGGTGCTCTTTTTTGGCCACAAGATGAATTGGATGTAATGTCTGAGGTCCAGGAGTTCCTGTGTATTTCTCCATTTGGGAGTCTACTGTTACTCCTCCATGTACTATCTCCAGTCCAACTGGCCAGCAGAGGTCATTTTGTCTTAGGAATCAAAGCAGGCCCCTCAGATTAGTTTTGATACACAAAGAAGACAGTGTGACCGTTGAGTGAATACAAGTGTACCTTGTACCAGAAAGCAGTGTGAACAGTAAGCAGAATAAAAAAAGTTAACATAATAAAAACACAGAAAAGTAGTGGTCTCTGAAAAAGTCAGATTAATTCAGCAAGAAAAAAACAGGGTAGGAACAGAAATACTATGGAGTGGAAGAATCATTAACTTGGCAATATAATCATCACTTAAGATAGAAATGTGTAATGAAACTTAAAAAAAAAATAAAAATCTGTAATTGTTTAAGCCAGTGATTTACCACACAAGAATAGAAAGAGAATCCTTTCTAAGGCAGTTATTTTTGATAAATTTTCAGTACTAGTGATTTGTACAGTCACAGGATCAGTTTTAGCTTATTACAGTTAAGAATTTTAAGCTTATGTTAAATACTGCTTACATACAGAATGTAATACAGTTTGCCATGCCTAGGAAAATAGTGCCATAATGCTGACCTCCAGGGCTACCATCATGATTTACATGGCAGTAGAAAAGCCTAAAACTTCTTAATAGTCTTTCCTTTCCCAAGCCAAGTTCTGTTTTGGTTTCTGTGTATTATCCTACTCAGGATTAGTGTCTTCTCTTTCTCTATGATTTGTGGTACTCCATACGCAATCATCTCCTTCCCTCTTGCCCAATGAAGTTGAAAAGTATTTCATGCTACTAACGACAGCCCCTCCACAGGCTTAAAGAAATGGACTTTTCAAGCATTAGTTTTAAGTACACTCTACAGTCCAACACTGATTTATGCTCATTATAGAACGGCACATCAGGTGGGCCTGTTGTTTCAGTATTTGACAGGGAGTACAGCCATAATGATTTTCACCATGAGAATATAACATGCCTTTTACACTAGCATTTTAGAATTAAGCTGTTAGGCAAGATCAGGCAACTATAAAACTCCTCCCCACTCAATAGCCCTGGAGATCAATCTAATGCACATACTGAAAATTACTTGTACTTGGGGATTTTAATAAACCACCTATTTAGTGTATTAATTTTCAGAAGAGTAACTATACATAAATGATATGTTCCAAGTTATGTGCAATAGATCTGTTTAACAGATTTATTCTTGTTTGCAAACACGCACAAAGAATTTTCTGTCTTCTATTCAAGCAGAAGAGTTACAATGGTGCTTTTGCTACTAACTATGGTATGCATTTTGGGGTTATATACCATTCCAATTCACATGCCTCCTTTAAGTCAGGAATGTTCTTCAGTGCTGCCACTGAAAGATCTGCTCCGGACATGATTTCTCAGTTGCTCTATGAGCTCTGGATTCTGCTGCTGTATCTGTTGTGCAAACTGCTGCCCCCTGTGTTGAACAGTTTTAAGTAAAATCAGCAAGTGAAAAAAAACTGACAAGCAGCATTTGTAAGAAAAGAAGATAGGCTAATACAACCGAAAGGCGCATTATATGAAAGTTAAGACTAAAGCTAACTTGCTGTATAGTCTTAATCAAGATATTTGTAGTATTTTGACTTTATCTAGTTTAAGTATCTCCAAATAGGATTATCATCAGGTCTTCATTTTCATTCTTTAGGACTATTACTTCTACTTGATGACATGGAAGAAAATGTATTACCTTACTTGGTAAAACTAAAATTTAGCAACAAATCTGCTCCAGTGATTTGCTCCCTTCTTTTCGAGAGGATCCATTCTAGTTGTTTAAGATAACTACTCTTGTAGTTGAAAGTGCAACCTTACATTAGTTTTTCTAGAAATACAGTGTGGAGCTGCCAACTTGTACTTATGAGCAAGAAGTCATTAATAGAAAGCAAGCATACAATTACACCTTTATGTCTTGTATGACTGAAGTAATGACAGCTCCATCTCCATAACAGTCGTAGATTAATAGGTGAGAAATTCCATGTAAAAGATAAGCGTAACACTGGTTTACTAGGAAAAGCAAGTCAGTAAAAAACATACTACTTCATGAATAGCCTGGCATAACTTCTGCATTTTGCGCAAGTAGCAAATTATCAAGACTCCTTTAAACCACAGTGCAGGTTGAAGGAAAGCCACCATTTTTGTAGATCTAGGTGTAGTATGTGTTTTTTGTGAAAACAGCCCTTGGTTTTGTGAAGGCACATTTCTCTCTCTGATGTGAATTACAAATTATTTTTGCCCTGAAGGGGCAAAACTTAAAAATAGTTTGAAACAGGCTGGAATGTTGAAATAAAGTAAAATTGTATGTATGTCCTTTAAGAGGTCTTGCCATATAAGCAAATTGCATGTTTTTGTGCAGACTCTTCCAGATGGATTATCACTATTGTACTGTAAAAGACTTGGGTCCTGTTTTTTGTAAGAGCTGCTACTCATTACACTGAGTTCCCTGAAGCCTTCCTAGTCTAAATGGAGGGATGCCAGAGCAGAACTTGTTGCAACCTGTGCTAAGTAAATCTATAGTTTTTCTAACTAGTGTCTGGGATATCAGGTAGTAAATTTATCAACACAATTTGAAAGCACGTGTAGGAGTACTTAAAGATTTAAAGGAACATTTTTACTAAGTGGCATTTAGGAAGTAGTGTATGAGAACCAGAAAGTGAAACTAAGCATGCAGTTCAGTCATTCCAATTGATGGAAGTGTACAAAACAAATAAACAAGATAGTGGAAAATAAGTCTTCAAGTTCTCAGCTTTAATAATAATCAGGCATACAATGGGGACATGCCACAGTATAATTGGCTTGACACTATTCCTTTTAAATAGATGTTGCACAATGATGCTTCTACAAATGAAACAGTTAAAACTATGCAATTCGTAACACTTACGCATGAATCAGGCTGGACAAATCCGACAGGCCACCAACACCTGCAGCAGGGCCACCAATGGCATTTGACATCATCCCTGACATCCTGGAACAGTTAGCACAGGTGTTGGCATTGAGACATGCAGGAAACTTTACAGTATGCAATAAACTGTAGGGATTTTTTTTAATTGCTGAGAGGAAATAAGCTGCAAAGGGAAGAAACCGCCGAAGTTTTATTTACAGTAAGCAGAAATACAGTACTATCCGTCTTTTCTCTTATTGATTCAACCCGCTAAAGACATTTGTTTCAATGGTATGCCATTTTAATACTTACAATTGTTGAACTTGAGGATTCTGCATTAAGCTTGCTGCCTGGAATAGACAATATATAGCTTTAATTATAACAGATTTACTACTTAGGTATCACTGAGGAGAATGTGGAGAAAAAAAACCAAACAAAAAACCCCCTACATGCTGTATTTTACATTTTATGCAAAATTAAGCTAAGTTTATGTGCACAGAGATGTAAAGTCCCCAACAAAAAGAATCATTACAGGAATGTATTTCAAGGATATGAAGCTGAAACAATTTGTTACATGTCAGATAAAAAATAGTTGTTACAGATTCAAACATGAAAAATATGACAAGAAGACATTGAACATAAAAACCCAGTACCATAATAACCATCATCATCATCATCATCTAATTTATGACTTCCAAGGACAGAGGTTTTCTGTTGGGCTTTCTGGGGAAAGGCCTGTATTTTGTTGATTCCCAGCCTATAAATCAGCTTGGCAACTACTGTTACTACTGGGTACAAACTGTTAAGATTACAGCCACAAAACATTGCAGAGTAAACCAGAATGTGGACTTACTTTGTAGCATAGTTTTGTAGTAACATGTATCTGCTGTGGTAATTGCGTATCTTCTTGCTTTGCAGTAAGCATGAGGTTATTTAAATTTCTCATTCATGAGATATACCCCAAAAATCATATTGTGTCTACCATAGTGTAAGGGTGTGTATGGACAGATACTATAGTATAAACCCAGTCATGTTTTAAAGTTAGTAACATAATTCCTACAGAAATCAGTGTCTGTATGAATGCAAGACCAATAGGCACAACACAGTATCTGCTTACTCACTCTCTTATTAAAGGTACTACAAAAACCAGATACATATTCATTTTATTGATTAAAGTATCTCCACATATATATTTCAAAAGTAAACAAACTGTTTAGTCTATAGTTGGATATAAAATGTCAAATTCAAGTCAATTCTATGGCTAATACAGGATTTTTTTTTTTCTTTCTTCCATCAATAACATGTCTGATCTAGGTTAGGGGTCCAAAATGGAGGCCAAAAGTAACTTTCTCGCACTCAGACAGTAAGTCAATTTTTTTTCCTTAAAAACAAAACAAACAGGAAAATAATTCATTTGTTCCTGGCAGGATGCCCTGTGTTCTACCCACTTGACCAATCATCTGGAAAGATGCAAAAATTCCTTTCCCCGTAGTCAGCTCCATATTGAAGATTACATCTTTGACTCTAAACAGATGCAGACTAAGTCATGTGGCCAAAATGAAGTGGTACACAGAGTTCCAGTGCTATTTAATCACTAATGTTATTGGAGAACTTGCTCACTTCTTCCTTGCCTCCAAATAATAATCTCTATTATTTGGACCATAGCATCAGACCAGATGTATTGATCTCTCTTGGATGCAGTACATTTCCATATGGAAGCACTGGTTGAAACGTCCTGTCCTAATGAAGCTACCAGAGTGGCAGTAAAGTTTTAACTGAGTTCTCAAAGGAAACAAGTATTTTTTGCATTTTTTTCTCCAAATTCCATTCTTCAAAGTTAATACCATTTAGCTAAGAAAGCCACACATGGAGAAAAACTACTGAGGGACAAAACCACAATTTGGCATTGTACTGGAAGCAAAGGAATTCACTGTATGTTATTTATATTCATTGTTTGCACATCTCATGAAATTTTGCACACTTAAGGATGTCAGGGATAATTTGAAACAGTAAGAACAAAAAGGGCTCTTGGGTAGTTCTCCCCAAGCAGAATTACTTTAGTCTTGGGTAGTCTGCATCTGAATCAACTGCTACTCGCTTAGAGGTGATTTCTTTGTATTCATTGTTAACTGCTATGTGGAGAATAGAAAATAAATTTTCACCATGCTGTTGACAAGTGGTTTACCATCATGCCATCTATAAAAACAGCATAGCTAATCTAGGCACATTGTTGTTCATAAGTAAGATAGAATCAATTGGAAATAAGGCAGGCATTATAGGAGATTTATGCTTCACTTCCTGTTTTGGGTGTAAAATGACTTAGAAAAGTTTAAATTCAGTATAATGAAACCATTGTCATTATAAAAAGCATTAAAATTACTTGTGTTATTAAACAATAGTTGTTCTTAAAGCTTCAGTTTTAGAAGCAGTATAATGTAAAGCTTGAAATATACTCACCATACTAATGAATGCAGGATTGTTTATCAAGCTTGCCATGTCAAAACTCAGTCCAGTTCCAGTCTACAAACAAATTGTAATTGAAAATAAATTTACCTACAAAATCCCAGTTAAAACTATTATAAATAAATAGATATAGAGCTAACTTACAGGACTGGACATGTCTCTCAGTTTCTGTTCTGCTATTTTCAAATTTGACTTGTAAGAGTCATTCTCTGGATCAAGATCCAGTGCTTTTTGGTAACTGGTAACTGCTTCTTCATATTTATTCACTGATGTCAGAGCCAACCTAATGTGAAATAAAGAAATCCTGGGTAGAACATAAATGACCAGCAAAACAGAATGATACATTTTCTGTTCCAAGTAAAACAGTATCTCAGAATTAACTTCTAGTTTGAGCACTAAGTTAGAGCAGGTTTTGCTATTGTGCTACTACTGCTTAATTTCAGCCCTTGTTTTTGCAGAAGAGATGATCCCTCAAGGACTCATCTTGTATTGTCTGATCCATATATATGCAAGTTTCATTAAAAACTCCTTGGCATCAAGTGATTTATTCTGTATTTGAGAGCACAAGCTGGATCCAGCATCTGTGACTTTTTGCATAAGCTCAGGAATTCCTCTAAGTGTTTCCTCCAGTCCTTTGGATCCAAGAGATTATTCAGAAGGTTATGTGGGTAAGCAGGGTAAGAAGATACTCTTAACGTGAGTTCTGCAGCTTCGAGAACCCAAATACTGGAACCACAAGGTTCAGTATAATAGATTTTTGTCTTAGGATTAGTGCAAGGTTCTTCTTTTGAGTCTTCTACTTCGACAGCTTGAAAAGTGTTATACAGGATAGTAGTAACATCTGTAAGAAACCCTTATATCAGGGAAGTCTGCTTAATGTTTTGAAAAAGCTGCTTCTCTAGCAGCTCAGGAGAGCACAGGACAGATCTACTACTTTTGAAACAGTATTTGTTTTCAAATTTGATTAGCTACTGCAATCAAAACATTATCTTTCTTTGAGCTATGCCAGAAGTCCATCTGCTTGCAGTTTCAATTCTATCTATCTTGTACTGTATTTTCAATTTATACTGACCACAAAACTAAACTGATCTTTTCCGCATTTTGTGAAAGATCTGCATAACCCACATTCAGCTATTTAGTACTCCAGTCCCCCTTTGGTATGTGCTGAGCTACACAGACTGGGTTGATAAGCCTGTGGTAATGCCCACTAACAGACCTTAGTCTTAGGCAAGAGAGCTCAGTGTGCTAGGTACATCAGCCACAGTCATTACTCTCAGTGATTACAAACTCAATATGAAACTCCAGGAGTTTCCAGTAATACTCCTGCAAGAACCCCCACAATATTATGTTTTCTCTCTTAACACAGTTACTCCCATAAAAAACATTCTCCCTTTTGTCCCACTAACTTGCCAAAATAGTTTCTGACCAGACAAGAAATGCAATCAGGTATTTCTGTGATGCAATCATGTTTTTTTACAGGGAAAGTATGTAAAATTCTGCTTCTTGGAACACAGCACAAGTCAGAACAGCACATGACATTTTCTTTGTTCACAATTTCTACCCAGACAAGTACTCTTTCAGGGTCATGCTGGAAGTATCACATTAACTGTCTACATGGCTCCTGTCTCCGCATATTTCTGTGGCACTTCTGCATCTTTCTGTAACATTGAGTTGCTGTCAAATCCTGAGAGAAACTGGTATGCCTGCATAATGCAGTCAGAAAACACAGCCTTCTCATAAGGATTTTCTGTTGAGAAGATGATTTCTGCAAATTTTCCCCCCCAGTTATTACTAAACAAGTGCTGTTTCCTCATTCAGCCTAAGCCAAATGTATTATATCCATGTGCTGAATTAAGCAATGGCTTGCAGCATAAAATACATCCTCTGTTGAACAACCAGACAATCAAAAAAAAGAGAAGCTTGATTGCTGAAGAATGATCCCACTTACATTGTGTATCAAAAGGCATACTGGTCTTACACCTAAAACTCTAAAACAACCTCCAACTTCCAATTAAATCAGCCTGTAGCTTCCCTCCATCTCACTGAAATCAGGGGATCTTGGGTTGTACTATATGAAGAAATGATCTAAAGAGAGTTAAATAGGACAAAACCAATTCAACAGTCCCTAAAATTTCAAAGTTAATTAATCATCTCAAAAGCCAGTCAGGCTACATTTGTATTAGTAAAATAAACTGTATTGTGAAAAGTTTTCAAGTGATAGAATTACATCACCTTCGATCTTAAATAAATGCCCCCTGGCATGGTTTTGTCTCAGGCCAACAAGCATTATCCCAGACAATTTTGGAGCATGGTTCAGAATTTAACACAGGCCAAACCAATTTAGCAATAGGCAGTTTGGATGTGGCCACTCCATACTGCAAACTAGATTTCAATAACATGGATATGGGCCATTTTTTGCCAGCTGCCTCAATGAAAAATCCCAAGCATTTTTTAATTTACTGGTATGGATATAACCTCAAAAGCCTGATGCAGCATTCAGCCCACACCCACAATATGCTTGATTATTAAAAATGCAAAGCTACACATCCTGGAAGAATGGCCCTTCACTCAAGTAGATATCCCATTCAGAACATTCCTGACTTTTTTTCAGATAGTACTTAATCAGAACCACTGGCTAAAGAGGCTACAGTGTTAATCTCTCAGACATGACTGAGTAAAACTACCAAAGGGACATAGCTTAGTCTTGCTAAAATATCTGCTTCCAAAGAGCTACTGAACAGAAGAATTAAGCCTCTGTTCCTGCTTGTGTGAAGCCCCAATACTTACAGGATTCTGTACTCTAACAGCATCACTAACAGATTCACTGTTCCAACTGCAGAATTTTGATTACTCATAACTAGGTAGGAGGTAGAAAAAAACCCACATCATGACTTTCTAAACTAAATTTGCAAAGTTGATAAACTGAAAGGAAAAAAATTTGCAAACTGATGAAATCTGATATGAAAATGCTGAGATCAACCACATATATAAAACTTAAAGCTGACAGCCTGATAGGGTCATCTTCAGAAAATCACTACACTTTCAGAACAAGAAAGTCAGCTAAGTAAAACAACATAGCTCCACTTTTTTCAGAAAAATCCATGGTGATTTACACTTGGGTCTTCAGTGCTTACTCAGATTTTAATTAGCTTACCCCATTCTCCCATATGCTTTGCTGTACTTTGGATCTATTGCTATGGCTCTCTCACAATCCTTTATTGCTTCACTGTAGTTGTTGAGCTTACTTTGAGCAGCAGCCCTAAGAGGAAGATGGGAGAGAAGGGAGAGAGCTTTGTCAAAAAAACAATAAAAGAAAAAACAACCAAACAAAAAACTCAAACCCAAGCTTAGATATTCACATGTCCATGACTAACTTCAGACTTGTTTAATCCGACTGACTTTTCATTCACTATTTAGGCCTCAATTTTCTGCAATTAAGTAGGACAAGCAAATGTTCTGAATTAAGTATGTGCTTAAGTACATTGCTAGACTAGGACTTTGGAGAACACACACTCACCTTTGAGGACATAAAGAATAAATAATTCTGAAGAAATGGTTTAGATCCAGCATATGACTATGGACAAAATTAATCATAAAACCAATTACAAGAAGCAAAACTCTCAAGTAGTAGTTTATGTAAAATCATTGTTTAAGCAGAAGTATTTTATATGATTGGCATTTTCCAGCAAGAAGTATAGTTTTACTGCCATTCAAAGGAATGCTGTGATTTTTCCCTGCTCAATTTTTTAGCAGGCAACTCATGCTTGCAGGTGAATCAGGATAGCATTTTTCTGAATTATTAAATTACAATTGCATCTCTATACCAAAGAAATACTAAATGTTGCAGACATTTATACAATAAGGTTAAAGACTTGCCCAAATTAAAAAGGACATTGGAACAGATTAATCATCAAAACTTCCCCAGTTTGAAAGGGGGCATTCACTCCAATTTGGGGGGCAAACACTCTAATGTGTTCTTCCTTGACTAAAAAACTACAGTAGAAATGACAATATTTCCATTGCATAAAGTACTGTTTTTTTATTAGGAATGCTAGATGCTACAATCATCACTATACTCAATCCTTTCTCCTGTGATAACCTCCAAATTGCATGGATTTTCTGACTTCGATTAAAATTTCTTCTGAATGGGACCACTCTTGTATTTTAAATATTTAGGCTGCTTAAGTTGACCAACTCCACAGATGCCACAGAAAAAAGCTAGGAACAATGCTTAGTGTCTCATGTGTTTGAACAGAAAATGTTTTTTCCATGTTTACGAAAAAATCATATGGCCATTTGAACTTTGATGGCATCTCAGCTTTCTCTTTTTCTCACTGCTGTGAGTTAAAAGCAATCAGGCTGAAGGCAGTATGCCTCTATTGCTCCCAAACTAGCTTAAGAAAGATAGGAATAAGGCCTATATTTATTCAAATACTGCATCACCCACAAAACTCCAAGCAACTGCCTGTCTTCTTTTAAATAACTTCATAAAATACTGTGCTTACTGACATCAAAATTACTAACAACAGCCTTGTTATTTTTCAACAGGTCATGCATAAAAGTGTTGAGTATTTATACAATACTTGAAATCTCCAAAATGGTATTGCCACATTGATGATATTTTTTCAGGGAAAGTCAGTACTAGGGGAGATAGAGATGGCAGCTGAGTCACTAGAACACCAGAAAAAAAGACTTACTACTTTCAACAGACTGGGAATCACAGCCTACATTATGCTTTAATATAGACTTCCTAACTCACAAAAACCTGATCTCAAGTGTAACAAGTAATTTTAAAGCCCATATTACCCCTCTAACTGATACAGATATGCTAAATGAGCTCACTTTTGCTTTAGATCTTTTACAAATTTAAAATGATAAATTTCTGAATAGTGGGGTTTTCTAGCATTCTGTTGCTTTGATCTACTTCACAATTTATCTTTAAAATAACGTTAATGAAGTTCAGGAATGAAAAGTGTGTATTATTTTGCTTTACCTGTTGCAGTAATAGACTGCATTGTTTGGATCCAGTTTTATAGCCCTAGTATAACAATCCACTGCAGCACCATAGTTTTCTTCTTTCATATGATTATTACCTGAAATAAATTATAAAAAGTTCTTAAGTAGTTAAAAGATATAGTGCTATGTATGAAAGAAATAGAGCAGCCATATTATACCACCTATATAAGGTAGTTATGATTGCACTTCTTTGAGATACATTCTTTTAAATAGAACTGGCATGGAATAACGCAAATAAAAATATCTACTATGTCTGTAAAGTTTATTATGTACGTTGTAGTCCACTACATAAACTTTCCCCATCTCAACCTGCTATTTCACACTTTCCAGCTAGTTTCTGCTGTAAAGCAAAGATCTCTTTGTTGACAAGTATAATTGTAATTGCAGTTCTACTGTAATATAGATTCATCACACTTAACTATCTGTGCAAGCCTTATAATCCAATAGGCTATATGCTAATCCCTTTTGGGTCTCATTTTCCGACATGACCCAAAAACTTCCTTATAACTATCCATATAACATGGAAAATCAAAAAGCAAAACTAAGCACACAAGTCCCACTTCTGTGATGCCACATAATTCATTCATTAAGATAATGAGAAGTATGTATAGCAGAAGCAATCTAAAATGATTCAGAGGTAATTTTTTTCCACCAATAAAGCTCAGAACTTCGACTTTACAATAAGGTTTTGTATTTTTTAAGTCCAGTGAAAAAAAGAGAAAAATATAACTTTTCTATGGAAAGGAAATTCTGGAGTAAGGTCTTTCTAAACAAAAGGTGCCCTACACATTCTTTCCTCTCTGACACAGGGCAGTCCCAGTAGTTCATTTCTTTCCTCATGACAGAGGAAAGAAGAAGTCCTAGTTCAAAGAGCCCAAGCTTAAGGTTGTCCCTGGTCCTGTAACTACGGATCTTTGGCCTGCTAGATCCTACAGAAGTCTTGGTTTCCCAGCAATGTCAAGAAATTGTCAGGAAAATTATAGACGTCCACTGACTTCCTTGTATTTTGGCAAAATATCTATATATTCAGTATCAGTATTTCAATATCTCTATCAAAATAAGCAAGAGAAGGGGTAGGTCAACATGTTACTACAGATGTAGATAACTGCATAGGCAAAGGCTGGAAAAGTTCAGTCAGTGCAACATTTGGTCTCTGATAGAAAGCAAAAGACTGCAGCAAGCAGTCCTAAGTGCCTGCACTAACGGAAAACAACTCTACTTGCATTTAGTTGTGAACATGGAAAGCTTAATAAACAAAACCAGATTTAAGTAAGTAAGTAAGTATCATCAAGGTAGTACAAAATCACATCTTCCCAACAGCAATATACTAGACTGTAATCATAGTCAGTAGTCCCTGCCAGTGAGAGGCAAACTGAAACTGTAATTGCATGTGTATCTTCAAAATACACACAGAATGTAACCATATCTGTCTCCTTTCTACAGGCCCACCATCTACACGTCTTTCTTTGATCTAAGGTAAAGGCTTGTACACTAAATCTTCTTGTCAGATAAAAGACTTGCAAGTTAGCTGCAGTCAACAAGATTGCAGCTTGTTAACATTTCTCTAAAACAAAATTGCCATCAGTGACTATCAAAGTTGTAATTTCTGATACTGCTCCTAACTAAAGATGACCTGGGGTACAGGTGTAAATTGGAGCTAATATCAGTGGGTACCTTTCTTGCTCTCTCTCCCTCCAGTTCAAAATTGGCTAGAGGAAACCAGAAAAACAGCTAGACCTACTATGTCTGTTGAGATTAAGCAATTCAGGACAAAAGGAAAAGGAACTGTAATATTGTATTTTAACACCAGACAAAAATTCTTAAGACAAAAAAAAAAAAACAAACAACCCACGAACCACAACACACAAATGGTTATACTTTTGAATGAGTGTCCTCCATAACAAAAATACTACCTATTATAATTTATACTGTGGTAATACCCAGATCTTTTTAGAATCAAGCCACTGTTACACTACACAAATCTGCACATAATCTGTGCACATAGCTTACATTACGCCAAAGTGTCAAGTAAGGGTAGGCAAGTAAAGTCCAGTATTTACTAGTCTGGAGGGTATATTACTTCCTGGTTTTATAACAACCAAGAAAGAAAACTCAACTATCTGATTTTGTTTTGCCATTCATTAGCCAATTTCTACAGGCACTAGGGCTGGTTTGAGAGCAGAGGAGGAGCAAGCTGGTGGCCACAAAGGTGAGGGAGGTTATTCCATTGCTAAGGACGTACGGATAGAAAAAAGGAAATGACAGAGTTATAGAATTACAGTGTTACAGAAGATATGGATCAAATTGACTTCCCCAAGTTATCTAATTTATCTCCCTAACTCAGGGCAGAAAAGGACTCATAACTGAAAACCATGACAGCAGTAATAGATAATACTTATGTGAAAATAAGGAGGATTAATATGACAGAGCAGCATTAGAAAACAGGACAGGAAGTTTAAATTTTATTACGGGAAATTAACCAGAGGCATTTCAAGCAGTTCCAAACTGCTTACTAATGCCCTTGATAGCTGACACTTCAAATGGCCCTTTGTCAAAGTTAAGACCCTTTCAATTTTTTCAGTGGAGGCATTAAATTGCTTTAGTAATACCATACAATGACTATCAGCACACATTAATTTCATTTCCTCAGTCTATTTCATAAACCCCTGTGGGCTGACAGATGACAAGACAGAAGTCACAGATTTAAAACAGGCATTGCTGTAATACCCACACCTGGAAAGTGCTGAATATCCCTACGGTCCAATAACCATACTGAGTGCTACAGGTATTCTTCACTTCCCATGAGCTGGCAGTAACAGATAGCAAAATGAAAAGCCAGCATGCACAGCAGGTATTTACAACTTACAAACTACTTTTCAGTTGTGACCTAACCTTGTTTGAGCTCTTATCCTTGGAATTAAAAAGCTAATTAGCGATGTCAAGAATTATGAAAACTCAGTATCAGATCCAGTAATGGACTGCATTCCTGGACTACAGATGACCAGTTTTAAGATAAGACAGACAGGTTTAAGGTTAGCGTTCTTGGAGATGTTTCTAAAACCAAACTACTAAATCATTTCCAGAAGGGAATGAGAAGCATCAGCAAACTGCAAATGACCTCAAGCACTTCACAGAGAATTAGGACTCATTCTCAAAAATGGTAGAACTTTTTCCACATCATTATCCTGAAATTTTTGAGAGGATTACATCTGCCTTTCAATCAGAAACTTAATTATTTTTTTCTATAAAACTCAAATATCTGAAAATCCATCAGGTCATAAAAAATGTGATTTATAAAGCATCAATCCACCTGATAACTATTCATATTAGTTATTGGTGCTAGATGTCTTTTTTTCCCCTCTTCCTTTTGCGGGGAAATAAAATGGATTTCTTCTTGTGTAGCATTAGTGAAGACTTCTATGGTACAGCTGCTTTTCCTCATATAATAGCAATAACATCTATCCAAGGGAAAATAAACAACTAGCTTTTCTCCAATTTTTATAGAGTATACAAATTATTTCACATGTGTGAAATACTGTCCCTAGTAAGTTCACAAGAATTTTTCTGTAAGTTTCAGCTGGGTCAGCTTTTTACCGACGTTTTAATATTCAGCTAGCAGGTATTCCTTGACATCACATAACCTTTTCAATATAAAGTAGAAACTTGTATAGCAATTCCGTGGACACACAGAGAAACCTGTAACATAACAAACAATAACTGTTCATTCTTTAAAGCTTCTACTACTCAGGAACGTTGCTCAAACTTCACATGTTATCCCTTAGTTTTTAAGCAACCTCCTTAGCAAGGGAGAGAATAGACTGTATTTTCTTAAACCCCAGATGGAGCAAATCCCTTAGCCCTCTTACAACATAACAATCACCAGAGAATATAAGTTTAAGTTTTTGTGCAGGGTGTTACCCAGCTGCATTACTATCTCTATCCATGATAACCCAAAAATCTTGATAAAAGCATAAGATGTTTTTTCCTGTGTTTATTACAAACCTTCATCCTTCAGTTGGTCAGCCTTTTCAACATCCTCTGGCAGAGAATCTGAGAGAGGCAGCATGTCATTCTGTATGTAAACAAACCAAGATTTTTTTTCATTAAAATATAAGCCCTGTTTTTATTAAAAATTTCTTTTATCCTGGACAACATTGCATTAACAAGCAACCAGATTTTCTGTAGCGCACAGGAAGTATGAAAGAACTAAACATCACTAAAACATCCTTAGAAGAGAAAGATAGCTTGCTTTCTATTACTAAAAAAAACCTCATGGCTCGCCACACATTTTAAGGACATCCAGGGGAAGCGAGCTAAGTTTTGATTTTCTTACTTCTGACCCTCCTATTTGCCATCCTGGCAGTTTCTGTGCTTCTGTACTGGGGATCCCAGATAACATGTATAATTAGGACACATTTTTGAAGTTCCCATTTTAAGGTTAGCGTTCTTGGACATGTTTCTAAAACCAAACTACTAAATCATTTCCAGAAGGGAATGAGAAGCATCAGCAAACTGCAAATGACCTCAAGCACTTCACAGAGAATTATCTCTGGGAATTGCAAAATGCTTAACTGAATGATAAAATCTTTCAAGTGAGAATGAGACATCCACTGTTTAGTAATTTTCTATATGGAATTGTCCTCGTCTAGCTGAAATTAATTCCTCCCACTGCCCCAAATGAATCTCATTCTGCTAGCTTCTATGGAAATTTCACTTTTTTTCCCATTTTTTTTTTTAAGTTTCCACATCAGTTTGACCTGTACAGCACTTTAAAGTTGTGTATGCAATATGTAATCTTAGCACATATTGGCAGAGTAACTCTAGAATCTAAATTAAATTCTTACCTTGTGAAAAGAATTTGTGAACATTTCTATCAAATGCTGTGGAGGTGCAAGATGAGTATCTTCCAGGTTAATCTTAAACACAGTCTCCAGACACTGAATTGCAACTTAAAAGAAACAAAAAAAAAGTTTCTCGATAGAAGTGTAATTTCACTGATTTATTTATTTATAAAGCTGTGACTCACTTCCTTATTCAGCTAGTAAAAGCAGCTCTTTGGAACATATCATAAAATAAAGAAAGGCTACCTGATCTCCATAGAATTGACTTGCTGAAACATACTATAAGCGATAAAGAATTCGTACATAGTTCAGCCATTATTCTTAAACCAATTTAAAACTTTTACTTCAATTCTTTCAATCATTTAATGTCTTTAAAAAAACTAAACAAACCAACACCATAAACATGTTTCCACTTTCATCCCACAGAAACAGGGGCTATAGATAAGGGGGGAAAAAAAAAAAAAAGGAAGAAACTGTAAACAGAAAAGAGAAATAACTGCCATTTAAACACGCTGCCTAAAATATAACTTGGAAGAAGTGAAGTTTCTAGTTCATACAATAGGGTTGAGCATTAACTGTAAGAGATCTATATCACTGCTCCAGATCCTAGGTTGTAGGGCAGTATATTTCTCCAGTCCACCTTCCGATTATTCTGCTTTCTCAAATTAAGGCATTTTTATTCATCATGCAAATACAAAATTCCTAGAGGAAATTTATACTATCATTGACATCGCTATATAATTAAAACATGCAGAATGCAGGTTACCAATATAAATGGAGTTCAAATACATGCTAGACTTCTATTTTGATAAAGTCTCAGTTTTATTTGCAATGTTATAGCTCTTTTTGTTGTTTTGTGGGGAACAGGAACTGTTAAAATTACTTCTTGGCACAGACACTTAATCATACAGCGTTTTATCTTTTCATAGACACCAAGGAGGTACATAAGGTACCAATGAAAAACATCAGTCAAATTTTTTCATCCCTTATATCTCCACCTACCATTAAACACTTCAGTAGGTTGGACTTTGGCTAATGCTGCTCCACATGCACTAAAGATATTTTGCGCAACTAAAGTCAATTATTCAGAATGCCCGCCTCCTATCTTCTGACACACAGCATATGGTACCATGCTTTTGGCAGGGCACAGCTCTAAAATTAGGATTTCATATCTGTATTAAAACGGTAAATTTTACATCAGCATTTAAGCACAACTGAGGTTTTATATTTTTTGCTCAGAAAACAGAATTTTAAAATTGTTGATTCCTTCATATGACATTGGCTAAGGCTGCTCTAAGACATGTTATCAAGTAAATTTTCAGTCATAACAGAATACTTATCAGTTTTATTATAAAAACAAAATGAATACTCTTCATGTCTCATTATATGATTTCCAAAAATATTGCTTTCTTTCATCATCTGAGCATCACCATAAGCTGATAACAGGTTAAACTCATAGCTGACTACTACTTTTAAAATGTACAAAATGCTCGATTCTGATGTAAAAACAAATCTTTTGGCTTTTATTATTTTGGGAGTACCCTTTGAATATCATGATACGCATGTTTCTTGCTTACATCAGTGAACAACTACACTGTAAAACAAATAGACATTGGAAGGAAGCAGGCTCCAGGTTTTATCTTTTTAAGTTTATGCCTCTGAGAAGCAGGACTTGCTTTGCACCTCACGAAAGCCTGCTCTCCACACCTCAGATTTCAGGTAAGTCAGTGATCAACTGCCTGGATGTTGTTTATTACACTACTGGTCCTAGACTTCCCCTCCTATCTCCAAATTCCTCCTTTGGTTGAGTCACAAGAAAAGACTGCTTAAAACAGTGCAAAGGTATTTTAAATAGATGCTATGAAAAGGTCATTGCAGAATTAACACTTTTTGTTCTTCTCTTGCTTAATTCCACATTGTGATACCACCTGCCATGAAGTCTCCAGAAATTAGGGAAAAGGAGCAAGAGCAGTATGAAGGAGAAAGACAGATACTATAAAGTTACAAAGACTTAATGAATGTCTGTTAACAGAGAAATACACACAGAAATCCATCTTTCTGTAGCTATGTCTACAAAGAGATGGACTCACATGTATAATGGAAACTATTTACCTTACTGAAAATATTCATTACCATGCCCTTTTTGGAATCACTATTCAAGTGAAAAAGAAATGAAAATAATGTATTTTATTTTCCATATTTCTAGGATCTCTTAGTCTTCCCTCATAAATTACATGGAATTCTTGCAAGTATGAAACAGGAGTTCTTCCCATATATCAAAACCAATATATGGTAATTATTTTACTTCCTCCATGGCCAGCACTGCTATTATCAGACACAAAATACAAAAAGAAACCAAACATAAAAATAAAGAGAAAAGAATCATCAGCAACAATTTGTGGGACACATACACGAATCATTACCATGGTCTGCATTATAGCACTGCTTAACTTGATATGATTCAAAGTATCTGTTGCTCAAAATTAAGGTAATATACATTTTGTAACTTTAATTTTAAAGCATCTCCCATTTAAAAAATGTTCTAATCTCAAAAATATTAAGATTGTGATCTTACTCACAGATAATATTTGGTGGCAGTTTCAGCTAGGTCACTCCATGACCACTTTCTATGATAATATACATTAAGCAACTTGACACATGGGTAGGTATTATACATACATATATTAGCACCCTTATCACTTACCTTCCAAGCTTTCTTGTTCATCCGGAGTGAAAGTATCCATCTGACTCTGGTCTCTCAAGAAATGGATGACTGCATAAACTAAGCGTTTGACTGATGACATTTTGAAATTGACGTTGCTCCTATGTCTTAAAAACAACAGGATGTCTTATTTTAGAAGAATGAATTCCTAGAGTATTCCAATCTTCCACTGACCTCAGTAAGTACAGACAATACACAAAAACTTATCCTTCACCAGAAAGCCCAATAAAGCAATGCCTTGAAACAAGTAGTTAAATTGTATGGATTAGGGAGAACTCCTACAATCATCCAGTCTAAGTACAGCAAAAAAGCAGATTTCCTCAAATTCATTCCTGCGGGAGAGTTCACAGAAGCTAAAATAATTCAGCAAATTATTTTTATTTTTTTATAGTTTGGATTTTATTTCTAAGAGATATGCTCGAGAAAGCAGGAGCACATGCTTAAGTACAAATCAATTTAAAAGCCACATTGATAAATATAATGACATAAAGAAACATAGTTTAATAAAAGGTATTCTATTCTCTGACAGTGTGCTGCTGAAGAGTTTCTATTCACTTTGGACAAAATCTGGAACACTGTGACCTCAGTGCACACTTGTGATTAGTGACACTACTGGCTCAGTCTGATTTGCATTCAGCATCAGCTGGGAATTACGTAACTTTAGGGAAAATCTTAGTTCCAACTTTCAGAGTTATTTTTCTTTAAACCATTTCGATTTAAAAGGGCACAACCTTATCGAGTCGCCAGGGGAAGCAGGTTAAAAAAAAAGAGCGTTAAATGAATGGCAAGACCAGGGGCCAACCCTCGCTAAATCATTTTCTCTCCACAAGCTCCGAGCAAACCGACGTGCGGCCAAACCCACGCCGAGCAACCG